AGATGTAAAGTGTATCATTATGGCCAGTATGACCGCGGAGCTCCAAAGGCTCCATGCGGACATGGAAGTGCGTCCTATGATACAATGCTTAAGAGACCTTTACCAGGGTCAGCCCCAAAACTCAGGAATTTACGTTATCGAAGTAAATATGTCTGATATCACCTCTTGGGTGATGGATACTAGATGTGGTTCTCACATCTGTACTTCTATGCAGAACTTGCATGAATGTAGACAATTGACGGAGGGAGAGATACAACTAAAAGTCGGCAATGGCGCACTCGTCTATGCATTGGCCGTCGGAACCTATAGTTTATCTCTACCTAGTGGTCTTATATTGCATTTGAATAATTGTCTGTTTGTACCTAGTATGAGCAGAAACATCATTTCTGTATCCTTCCTTGACAAAGCAGGATTTTTGTTCCTTGTAAAAGACAAAACTCTTTCTGTCTTTAGAAATGATATATTTTATGCAAGTGCAAAAATGACCAACGGTCTCTATGTCCTTGACATGGATACCGCTGTATAAAACGTAGATGTTAAGAGAAACAAACCTAAAAGTTTAAATCTCGCGTACCTTTGGCATTGTCATTTGGGCCACATTAACGAGAAACGCATATCTAAGTTACATCGTTCTGGTGTACTTAATTCATTTGACTTCCAGCCATATGATGTATGTAAATCTTGTTTACTTGGTAAAATGACAAAGGCTCCATTCACCGGTCACGGTGAAAGGGCGAGTGACTTATTGGACCTCATACACTCCGATGTCTGTGGTCCAATTAGCACTGTAGCTAGAGGTGGTTATTCTTACTTCGTTACATTTACTGACGACCTTAGTAGATATGGATATGTGTATCTCATGAAACACAAATCGGAATGCTTTGACAAATTCAAAGAATTCAAGAACGAAGTAAAAAAACAATTAGGCAAAAGTATTAAGACCCTCCGCTCGGATCGAGGAGGTGAATACTTAAGCCTGGAGTTCGATGACTATCTGAAAAAGCATGGGATTTTCTCCCAACTCACTCCTCCGGTGACACCTCAGTTAAATGGAGTGTCTGAGAGGAGAAATCGGACTTTGCTAGACATGGTCCGGAGCATGATTAGCCTAACAACATTGCCAGAATCATTTTGGGGATATGCATTGAAAACAGCAGCACACACACTCAACAGAGTTCCATCTAAAGCTATCGAGAGCACACCATACGAACTATGACGTGGGAAAAAACCGAGTTTCTCGTACTTTAAGATTTGGGGCTGTGAAGCTTATGTAAAACGTCTCATGACGTCTAGTAAGTTGGAGCCTAAATCTGATAAAGTAATTTTTGTGGGATACCCCAAGGAAACTAGAGGGTATGAGTTTTATCATCCATCCGATAACAAAATTTTCGTTGCTCGGAATGGAACCTTCCTTGAGAAGGAGTTTCTTTCTGCTATCACTAGTGGGAGAAAGGTAGACCTCAAAGAAATTCGAGAACCACAAGAAGAAGTCCCGATAGTGTTGGAACATGAGCAAAGAGATCAAGCAATTGAACCTCAAATTGCTCAAGATATACCACGTAGGTCAGACCTGATACGTAATCCTCCGGTCAGATATGGATTTCTCATGTCTGATGAAGGTGACGTCTTGTTGGTAGATCAAGGTGAACTGGAGACCTACCTCCAGGCAATTACATGCCCCGAATCCGATCTATGGCTCGAAGCCATGAAATCTGAAATGGAGTCTATGTACACAAACCAAGTCTGGACCTTGGTTGATGCGCCAGAAGGGGTAAATCCCATTGGATGCAAGTGGGTCTTCAAAAAGAAGACAGACGTAGACGGGAAGGTTCATACCTTCAAAGCTCGATTGGTAGCAAAAGGTTATAGGCAAATCCACGGAATTGACTATGATGAAACCTTTTCTCCAGTTGTTATGTTGAAATCCATTCGGATAATGCTTGCAATTGCAGCCTATTACGATTACGAAATTTGGCAGATGGACGTCAAGACGGCTTTCCTTAACGGGAACCTCAAAGAGGATGTTTTTATGACACAGCCTGACGGTTTTCAAATTGCTGGTCAGTCTGCCAAAGTTTGTAAACTGCAACGTTCAATCTACGTATTGAAACAAGCATCTCGGAGTTGGTACATACGTTTCGATGAAACCATTTCCAGTTTTGGTTTCGAAAAGAACTCTGACGAATCTTGTGTATACAAGAAGGTCAGTGGGAGTGTAATAGTATTCCTAATCTTATATGTCGATGACATATTCTTAATGGGTAATGATATTCCCGCTCTCACTTCTGTAAAGACGTGGTTGAGCGAGAACTTCTCCATGAAAGACTTAGGGGATGCTAGTTATGTCCTTGGCATAAGAATCTACCGAGATAGATCAAGAAAGTTAATAGGTCTGAATCAAAGTACATATATAGATAAAATCCTTGATCGATTTAGCATGTCTAACTCAAAGAAAGGAT